AACAGTTAGGACCAAAGCCAAACTCCCCTCTCGATTCCTTCCATGAACGAGAGGTCCACAAATTGAACGATCAAACCTTTAAACAATCAGGATCGTTTCAAACCCCTATTTGGTCAAACCTTTAAACAGTTAGGACCAAAGCTAAAATCCCCTCTCGATTCCTTCCATGAACGAGAGGTTCATAAATTGAACGATCAAACCTTTAAACAGTTAGGATCGTTTCAAACCCTTATTTGGTCAAACCTTTAAACAGTTAGGACCAAAGCCAAAATCCCCTCTCGATTTCTTCCATAAACGAGAGGTCCACAAATTAAACGATCAAACCTTTAAACAGTTAGGATCGTCTCAAACCCCTATTTGATCAAACCTTTAAACAGTTAGGACCAAAGCCAAAATCCCCTCTCGATTCCTTCCATGAACGAGAGGTCCACAAATTGAACAATCAAACCTTTAAACAGTTAGGACCACAGCCAAAATCTCCTTTCGATTCATTTTGCGAACGAAAGGTCCAACTTTGAATTGAATAATCAAACCTTATGACAGTTAGGATTATTCGAACCAATTCAGATTCTCTAAGTGGAGATCCCACTTTGAGTTTCCTTTACACCAGGAGATAGAATATAAAATTCTTCCTCTTCGATTTCGGGTTTATCTCTACCAACAAACAAGAGACCAGGAGATAGAATATAAAATTCTTCCTCTCCGATTTTGGGTTTATCTCTACCAACAAACAAGAGACCAGGAGATAGAATATAAAATTCTTCCTTTCTGATTTGGGTTTATCTCTACCAACAAAAAAGGGACCATGTTACTCCAATAGGTACACGAGTCTAAACTGTTTTCCTATATTCGACAGGCAGTTTCTGGAGAATATTAATCTGAATATTCTTAAGGATAACCTGACGAACTCTCAATAGACATACAAGCATCAATATGGAAATACCAGCCTCGATTCAAGATCTCAACAACGGTCCAGCGATAAACGCAGTGCCGGAGAAGCATTAGCTATTTTACAAAGAACTGAATAGACTAATGGATGAAGAGATCAAGAGCCGAAGCCATTTTATGGAGTCCTCTACACGATCTACTCAACCAAGTATTGAAGGGATCGTAGGTAAAATCTATCTTATCCAAAGTATCACAGACTTCTCTATACAATAATGAGTCTGGAATACTTTGGAGGGGGTATCTGTAGGCGTCAAAAAATGCTGAAAAGATATCCAAATACAGCTCAAGAGGAAATCATTCAAAAAATGCAAGTATGGTCTGTCTCGCACGCAAGACAGCCTTTGCTGTCTCGCCGTGCGAGACAGCCTTTGCTGTCTCGCCATGCGAGACAGTGTTCTCTGTCTCGCACGCGAGACAGTGTTCTCTGTCTCGCCATGCAAGACAGCATTCTCTGTCTCGCCCACGAGACAGCTTTCAAAGAAGTCAGAAACCATTTTGTAACCGTCGACACGTGGCCACCAACTGTTCAAGAACGTGAGAAACGTCGTGGGCGAGAATCACGTTGATAACTGCCAAAATGTAGGCGTCAAAAAATGCTGAAAGATATCCAAATACAGCTCAAGAGGAAATCATTCAAAAAATGCAAGTATGGGCTGTCTCGCCGTGCGAGACAGCCTTTGCTGTCTCGCACGCGAGACAGTATTTACTGTCTCGCCCGCAAGACAACCTTCAAAAGATCAGAAACTATTTTGTAACCGCCGACACGTGTCCATTAACTACCAAGGGACGTGGAAAATATCGTGGGCGAGAATCACGTTGATAACTGCCAAAATAACGGAGTTGTAAAACGTGAAAATGTAGTTACAAGAAAACTGCCAGACAGTTACTGTTTCCGAGATAATGTTTACTGTCTCGTGGGCCGAGACAGTCTTTACTGTCTTGGAACCCGAGACAGTCTTTGCTGTCTCGGGGCCGCCGAGACAGCAAACACTGTCTCGGGAGTGCAGTTTGTCCTAGGGGCTATAAATACCCCCTTGAGGTCGATTTTTGAGGGGGCTGATCATTTTGAGCACTTTGAAGCAGAGAGAGAAGAGTTCCTGAGCTTCTGGCCATTCCTTGAGATTCGAGCTTTGACTTGATCTTAAGAAGAACGACTATCTTACTTTGATAAGATATCGTTTCAAATTCTCACTTCGATAAACGAAGGAAGAATCATTAAACCCCTCACGATTTAATCAGAATCTATGATTTGGTGGTCCACGAGTCAAAGCGCTCCCGGCACAGGCAAAGATCCCACGCAAGCAGCGATCCAAACAACGATCCTGCGTTTGTTTCTAAAAAGTTATAATTTTCATCTTGTTGTGTAAAAGAAGTCTTATAAAAAGGCTATCTCTTTTGAATTTATTATAATCGACCGAAGATATAATGAATTCCACAACAAGACCAGCTTTTGACGAAAACATCGACATATTCATTTTTGTTGCCAGGATAGCTCAATCTTTCATATAGTCAATGGATTTGAAGTTCTCATCTAAAGATAGGAAAATTGCATTTATTAGACAATCTTCTGGTAAATCATCACTTTGATTCTTTATCAAAATAGAAGTGGGCAATGCTATTAGGTCATCAGCCACTGTCGGTTCATCTCCATTTCCAACTCTTAAAGGGAATTCGCTAAATGTTGAATCTGTTCTTGCTCTCAAATTCTTCGATAGCTTCAACTTTTCCATTTTGCTCCACAAATATGAGCTTACTAAACTTTCTCTAATAGTTTGTGATCTTGTTGCGCGGGGTACTACTGGTAAAACTTGTCTGAAATCCCCACCAAATACTATTACTTTGCCACCAAATGGTTCATCTTGATCCATTATATCCCTTAATATTCTATCTAATGTTTCAATTGCAACATGTTTAGCCATTGGAGCTTCATCCAAAATTATTAACTTAGCTATCATAATCTGCTTTGAGGTTCCATCTTGCTTGGATATGCTACACATAGATGATTCTGTTGTTGGGATTTTTATCTTAAATATGAAATGTGCTGTTCGGCCTCCGGGCATTATTACTGCTGCCACGCATGATGTCGCTGTAGCAAGAGCTATCATCCCTTCTGATCTTACTTTGTCTAGCAAAGCACGGTATAAGAATGCCTTCCCAGTTCCTCCTGGACCATCAATAAAGAAAATCCCGCTTTTATTTCCTTGAATTCGTGATAGTACGGAAGTGTATGCATTATATTGTTCTGAATTGAGTGATGATTCAGCATTGAGGTCTTCATCTGGAATTTGTACATTGAGTTCATCTTGAATTTCTGGTCTTCATCTGGAATTTGTACATTGAGTTCATCTTGAATTTCTCTTGGGTATGAACTTCCTTTTGAATAAGGGTTAGTTTGAATAGGCGGTAAATTAAATTTCTTGATATCATTTCCCATGCTCTCTGAGAAGAATTTAATGTTGTAAAGGGTGTCGTTTATAATCGCAACTTTCGTAGCACCAGGTTTCCTTGAGAAGTCTTCAGATAATGAGTCAAGGTATCGATCCCATAATTTACCAGGTTTCCTTGAGAAGTCTTCAGATAATGAGTCAAGGTATCGATCCCATAATTTATTAACATCTGCGGGCTCACAGTGAACCAGTATGGTTGCAAGGTATCGATCCCATAATTTATTAACATCTGCGGGCTCACAGTGAACCAGTATGGTTGCAAACAGGCGACGAAGGGTTGCTGGTATTTGAAAGATGACGGCTTCATCTAAGCATTCTCTGATGCTATTATCTGATTCCAATAAACCTAATTTTTTAGCTGAATATTTGAATGATGTGCATTGAATTCCATCCACGGTCAATTGATTCTCAAATGAGGTGGGGCATCTGATGCGAGTAAGTAAAAGGCGTAAGTAATATCTTTCCCCTTCAATTGGGTTAGCACCATTTATACGGCCTATCACCTGTCTTTGTTTTCTTGGACTCCAACATTTTGTTGTCGAATCCTAAACATAATATTCGGGAAGTTCACAATACAATAACTTTTTTTCTTGGTCTTTTTTTGGTTTTGATTTGTTGGCTTCTTTAATTTTTGAACATAGTGTAAAAAATTCTGTAAGCATCGTCTTGTGGACATGGTCCCAGCGGATAAGCTTCGATAGGTCTTGATTTTTCCAATAGGAAACAAACTGTTAATTCGACAAGTGTAGTTGTAAGTTGATGACACTCGACAATCTCTTAACTGTTGAAGGAGATGGAGTTAGTATAAAAATTGTGTAATAAGCTCATCCGCTGTCTTCGATAATTTGATTGATGGAGTTAGTATAAAACATACACGGCCTTTATCTATAGATTGATTCGGCAAGTGTAGTTGTAATTTGATTATAGATAATGTAGTTAAAACTATAAAGGGGTATATTTGTCTAAAAAAGATTGTACGCTACTTATTCAAACACCATCATTAAAATTAAATTTGAAAATTAGAATTTGATTATAGATAAGGTAGTTAAAACAAACACCATCATTAAAATTAAATTTGAAAATTAGAATTTGATTATAGATAAGGTAGTTAAAACTATAAAGGGGTATATTTGTCTAAAAAAGATTTTCCGAACTCGTGCTTTTAAAGGGAGTATGATATAGATCCAAAAGCATAAATCCTTATGATTAAATAAAACTATACAGTCTATACTAATAAGTAGGCTTTAAATGGGGGAAAAATAGTATACATACCACTACAATGGCCATGATGCTTCAAATTATGTGTTTTTTATCTTGAGATAAAACCACGTTAAGAGTAAATTATTTCTCTTTGAAGTTGGCGAATCAACAGACATTATTAACATGATCATCTTCATCAATCTCTTTGCAACTTATTGTCAATTTACATAGAACTTCAATGTCTCCCATCCTCTTGATTGCATTCTATGGTGTGATTTATAGGAGTTGACGGTTTAAATAACAGTTATAAATAATTGTGGGACTATGATCAAAACATTAAAGAATCAATGAACCGATATCTAAATAATAATAATAATTAAAAAAAACAAACCATATATCCTTTTCTATATTAGTAAGTAGGCCACAGACATAGGTAAAAGTAACAATACATGCAACCGCAAAGATTTTGATACATCAAATCAAACTCCAACTTCATGTGATTTTATCTTGAGACGAAACCTTAAACCACACAACACTATACATATATTTTGCTTGGAAAACTCAACGAAACAATCATCTTGTTCAATCTCTTGCACCTCATTATCAATTTGCAGCGCGACAGTTCTTCCTTATCTCTCCATCGCTCCCCGTGACAACTCCAACCTGTCCCATCCTCTTGATCGAATTCTTGAACGCGTTGGTGAAGTTTTTCAAATCTTGAAGCTTGTCAACAATATTACTTGCTCTATCATTAGTGAGCAGAGCAGCATCAGATTGAAAAAGACCTTTACCTTGTTTTAATGTTATAAAGTAGTTACTGTCAAATTTTGTGCTGCTCTCTGGATCCGTAGGTACGGTTGTGGTTGTATCTGACTGGCTTTTGCATTGTGTTCTTAAGAATGAAGCATAAGTTGAGTTTAAGGATGGGTCTGAGTCTCCTTTGCCTGTGAAGTTGTAGAGCCTGTTGCTGAAGAGATTGCAGTGTCCTACTCCAATTGTGTGTGCACCTGAAAATGGGAGGAAAATGAAAGTTTGGTGGCTTTGGATCTGAAATTTAAAGAATTTTCTTTCTATTTTGTGATACCATGCCATAATTTTTTTGGGTAGATTACTAAAGTACATTCTCCGTCGAAACTTTTCAAGACTCGTATAAAATCCCTATGAGGTTCTAAAATTGGTAGTTTCCATCTGTTTTAAAACTTTAGTCATAAAAAATGACGATGCACGTGATTATTATACTGAAAACAGATAGTGATGCCAACTTATTTTTTCATAAACTTCTTTGATTGAGCCTGCACATATATATCAAATGTCGCATATTAACTCAAGCTCGTTTGCTCATAACTAACAATATATTACGTAATACCTGATAACACAACAAGATCCTTAGCATCAAGATTTTTACTAGCAAAGGACTGCACAAGAGTACTGAAATCAGAGAGGGGGGAGGGAATATCATTAAGTGCCTCCTGTATCTGAGAAACTCTACCATCTCTCCTTCCAGTCTCAACTTCCCATATGGACGCATTGAACTGTGTCAAAATCGCATAAAAGCATATCAATCAGGGGGAAAAAAAATGAAAATCTTTGTCAATGAGATATTTTAAATCAATGGCTCACTTGAAAGGAAACTCCATCTCTTGCAGCCAATGCAACTATATCAGCACAAGAGACTGTATTAGGACAAGCCTTCTCCAATGCAGTCTTTGCTTCATCGATGATTTCGAAACCTGCTAGCGTTAAGTTTGGAGGTGCATCCTTTTCAGCAGTTTGATTTGCTGAGTCAAGCAATATGGAGGCATCGCAACCCTGCAGACAGTAGTCAAATCAACAGTCTATTAAAGCATTATGTATACGGTTACTAGATTGCGGAACATATGCAAAAGCAATAAACGTATATAAACAGAGCCCTAGATACATGAGAGTAGAGAGAAATCCTAGAAATGTGTTATCTGGACTAGTTACATCAACATTTCATACAGTTCCCACTATTATAGTTTTTTGGGTTAATTGCACATGCACCCCTGATGTATCGCACTTTGGAACTTATCACCCTGTAGTTTGATTTTGGTGGATAGACCCCTAAGCGAATTCTTTCGATTTTTTTTACCTTCGTGGAAGGAGAAACTTGTTTCTTCAGCAACTTGAACCCCAAAAACTTCATTTGGGAGATCTATCTGCCAAAATCAAACTACGAAGAGTAATAGGTTCCAAAACATGTTACCATGGGGGTCTCAAGTAGTTGGTCTTATGAGTCTTGACGTAGTCCATTCATAATCGAGTTAAACGAGTTGCATAAAGAATTCACTTAGGTATCTATCTGCCAAAATCAAACTACAAAGCATAATAAGTTCAACAACTTGATACTACTGGGTCTTTGCAATTGGAATGATGAACTTCATTGAAACTTACTCTCACAAAGCAATCATGGAAGAACATTCTAAGAAATTTTGCAGCTAACTCTGAGTTTGCAGCAACATGTTTCCATATAATCTTCTGAACAATTTCCTCAGCTTGAGGACATGTTTTCTTGTAGAAATGATTCTCTAGTCCGGCTGCGGCTTGGCCTTTGGTTGACCTATCAAGAACTATGACAAAGGCTAGAGAGAGAATGAGGAGGAAGCTTGACTTCATCTCTATTAAGTTTATTTAGTTGAGTTTTGAATGCCAGAACTAGCTAATAATGGTTTCTATTTATAGGTTGAGATGGTCAGTTAGCATCTTTGGGTTATTTATTTGTTCATATTATTATTTCTGACTTTTGACAAATTTTTTTGGATGAAATATGTTCATCATCTTAGTCAACCTGCAGTTGTTATTTGCGAAATGACTTGATGACAGTACTTGTTTGCTTAGGTTTCAATCAATCATCTGTGATTTGCTAACCTGGAATATGCATTAATAGCTAATGCATTTATAAATGATATTTTAAAAGATATACTGGGGCTTAGGGGTTAAAGTTTTATATTATTGAAGTGCTTAATTACAAAGACTGAGTGTTTGTTTTGGCATATACTATTGTTAATTTGGATTTGTCTTATCTCATCAAACATGTTTTCCTTGGTTTGCAAATAATTCAAAGATTTTATATGAACAGATCAATATGAAATTAATCATATTACATTACTAACAAATTAGATTGTATTGTACGAAAGAAATATCTGTGGTTCTTTTTTTTTTCCGCTTTCCAAATTCACGTTAAATATGTATATGGTAGGACTCAATATGAAGTACTTTGATCTTAAAAGTATTTTAGATCGCACAAAAAGTCGAAAGTTGTAATAAGGATAGGGGTATAATTCCTTATTCTAGTTAATTTTAGCTATGCTTCATTTGTAAACATGGCTGATAGATTAACCACAATAAAAGAGAACCAATTAGCATTGAAGGTTTTTTTCTTCTAATAAAAATTGGTAGTGGAAGAAGGACTGTGGGCTTTGACTCCAGCGCGTCTTATCCGATTTATCTATTTTATGATAGCGAAGTTGGTAATCGTTGGTAGAGAAAATGACGGTGGTTTTGTTAATAAAAGAGAATGTAGACTTAGACTTTGAACTTGAGATAGTGATTAAATCGAGTATAATTACTTTACAAGCAACCTGGTACATATGCCTTCATTGTTTATTCTGTCAGTGTACAATATATACAACCAGCTAGATAAAGACTAAAAGACTGTTTTACCCCTCAAACTTCTGAATGGGAAAAAAAACATGTAAAGGGAAAACCAGCGCAAAACAGAATGCGAAATATCACTGATACTCTGATTAGAGGAGTTGGATATTCAGGTCTTTGAGCAAATGATAAACAGATCAAGTATGAAATTGATCGGATTGCCGCCACTAATCGTGTATCAGTAGATCAGTTATGAGTGTCAGATCCTTGAATTAGGTGCACCGTGCACATAAACAAGTTGTTCAAACTCAAACCCTCGTAAATATTAGTACGTTATCAGAGCTAAACTAGCCATTTGTGCCTAACCTTCTCTTCTCATTAGTCCAATACAGCAAAAATACTGCAGGACGTGCGAGTTTACTGAGTCTCAGCTTACGCTCTTTCCTCGTTCAAATTATCAGGCATTGTAAGCTCACAAGCAACTAACTGGCTTACAGCGCAACCTCAACTTGGGAGAGTTGGTAGAGCAGTTGCTTCCCATGGGAGAACACTTTTTTGTTAAATAATATGGAGTTGTTATGTTCTTAAAACCTACCTAAAAAAGTCAAAAAAATAAATAAAAAAAATCATAAATAAAAGATGTGTGCATTATTGAAAGAAGTGAGTGGATTAAAAGGTGCTAACGAAAGTCAAAAGTAAAGAATGTCTTCTAATGTATGAAGATAGAAGATGTGCATTATCTAACCTTAATAGATTACAAAACTCCATACTGATTAAAATCTCACCAGGTCACAAGAAAACAATCTAAATGTCTTAATACTGCATATTCACTATTATATCACAATAAAAAAAATGTCAAAAACACGCAACACATCCCACTTACCATTAAAAACACCAAGAATTGTTCAAATGTACAAAATATAACTTCAACGTACTAAGAAGAAAGATTACCTAGTTAAAAAAAAGAAAAAAAAAGAAAAACCAACAAACAAACAAGCAAACAAGATACATGTTTTCAACCAGAATTTTTATTATGATCAATACAAAAATAACGAAGAACACGCAAAACTTTCCGAAACTGTCACACGAAATCACAAAGCAATATTGTTCAAATTAATATAACCCGAAACATCTAAATTAAAGCAAAAATTAACTTCAACATACATTTTCCCACTCCTAGTATGTTTATCTGCATTAATCAATATCTATGGATCACGCTTTAGGCATTGATCATTAGTTAGGCATATGCACGCGAGAAACAACATTCTATAAATGTGACACGAAAGACCCTCATCTTCTCAACTAATTAAACTCTTTTTGCTTCAAGCCATTAATTTCTAGTCCCTATATTTTTCGTCTAGACTCTTGAATCTTTAGTTCCATTGAAATCAACCATGGCTAGGGGAGGAGGACCTGATGAATGTGTTGAAATCATCTTAGCCTTCATCCTCCCTCCTCTTGGAGTATTCCTCAAGTGTGGATGTGGGGTAATTACCCTTCTAATACTTTTTTTTCAAATTATTTTGATTCTATTTTCTCTAATTAATTAATTTCTAAAAGAAAATTAAGTGAACTTGTTAATTTTCCAAACTCAAGCTCTCATGCTCATTCCTTTTTATGGGCCTGAAATAATTAACAAATGGTCCATTGATTGCTCTACCAACTATTATGTTGTATTCAATTTGGTAGTTCTTTTTAACGGTAAACAAATAATTTTAGTATTTAGTTTATAGATGAATAGAATTAAACCATGTGTATATTCAATTTGTTTGCTTGTAATGAAATTCAGAGTTGAAAATTATTCCTTTATAATTACCATGCATACAATTCAAAAAAAAATGTACTTTGAATATTTGGTTAAATAACAGATTTTGACTCTTTAAATCTCTCAATTTTAATATGGAAGTTAAGTAGAAGTCGTAACATCAAATTCTTTAGAAGAAAGTGTTGTGCGCAGCGGAAATTTCGGCAGCACTTCGGCAGCACAACAAGAGAGATTAGATCGATAAGAATTCCCGTCTCACCAAGGAAACAAGAATCTGAAGCGGATATCTCAACCAAGTGAGATATCGGCTCTTCCTCTCATCAGTTCTAGGACTGACCTGTCGAGGGATCCTACAAGCTATTACAAATCACGACAAGAACACAACTTTTACGTGGTTCGGCAAATAGCCTACGTCCACGGGGCAAGGAGGGGGAGATCTACTATTAGAGGGAGAGATACAATTGGGGTTTACAATCACTCAATTTAAACCCTCACACAAACTCTCAGATCCCTCACACAAACTCTCTCTACAAAAGGAGCCAAAAAGAGACTCTGTTCGTTTTCCGTAGCCGCCAACAAAAAAAACCCCAGAGTCTCTGACCTCGCACCCAATTGCACAGCCTCCTGTGCACTTGAATCAGCCGCTCCTTTTTATCACTGCCTTGGCCCTCGTGTTTTTCTCCTTCAGCCGCAAAGCATACCCAGCCCCTTGCACACACCCCCACAAAACCCTAGGATGGGTATTAATAGCAGGGGATGTCGGGTCAATCGGGTAGGCTAGCAAAATTGTCCGCTGGACAATTCACAAAGCAACACACAACAAAGCAACCCATGTGAAACACAGCAACCCACGTGAACACATTCACGTGAAGGTGGACCCCATTCACAATTCTCCACCTCGACGAAGTTTTCCCAAAACTGAGCCGACACCAACCAAACCAAATGGCTCACTTGTTGTATCCAGTACGCCATGACAACGGACTCATGACAACGGACTCCATCCACACAAGTCGAGACCCAAACGGGAGTGCGAACACTCACCCAAAACAAATAGTGTCTACTCACCAATCAAACTGAGCCTACACCGACTACACCAAATGCCTCACTTGCTGAGACACAGATGGGAGTGCAAACACTCACCCCAAACGTCGATGTCGCTCACCAAATCGGCTGCATAATAAAGACTGCCTACGTATCCTCTTGCCCAAAGAATCAAGCCTTCACGTAGTTCACCCAAATGGCCTCCAAAGGCTTTCAATCAAATAGAAAAGTCTGTAGCTCTTCTTCAATATCACCAAACGATCTGCAACTGATAGCACTCCCAATAGCCCTAAATTGAGACAAATCACTCTTCTTCAATATCACCAAACGATCTGCAACTGATAGCACTCCCAATAGCCCTAAATTGAGACAAATCAAACACCTCCATCTGAGGTGAACCTTCTGCAACTGATAGCACTCCCAATAGCCCTAAATTGAGACAAATCAAACACCTCCATCTGAGGTGAACCTATGATCGTATCCAAATCAAGTCCATCAGCTGCAATCGAAACCAACTCATCATCTGCATCCAAATCCAAATGATCCCCAATCTGTGTCACCTCAGCTGGAATCCCAAATGATACAGTATGATCTGGAGTCTCCACCCAACATGGAGTAGCATCACTCTCCACCTGCTGCGATACCCTAATGATCTGATCACCACTCTCCACCTGCCGAGAGTTAAACGTGACATACCTGCTCAGAACAATGTCAGAAGCCAATACCTGATAATCAAACACGCCTCTGAATCCTAAATATGCTATCGGATCAAATCTCACATCCACGATGTGACCAAGTGCTGGGTAGCCAAACATCTGACGCAACCTAAAATCTGAAGCAGCTCCACCAGATCCAAAATCTCTACATGCAGCAGTCGGCAACCTATACATAAGATGGTCCAAACATGTCGTAGCCCGCACACCAATGCCAATGCTCGACATCAAACATCGATCCTCCCCCAGAAAGGAACAGCTCCCCAAATTTGCCATCTCGCCTCGTCGCCTCAAAGTTTCCACACCGATGAAGTGTCTCCAATTGCCGTGAGCTCGGCACAAATGCAGAAATATGTCCCTCTTGTACCTCCCTCTAACATCAGACTGAAGTACCTTCACCTTTCTGCCAATAGACTTCCTCCATTTGTTGCGGGCTTCTAGGACTTCACACTAACGGGACTTGATTGCAACCCACCAATGCCTAGAGCAATCCCCAACTACGGAAACCACACACCTATTACCTCCCAATGATGCTCCCTTGGAAGGCCCCCGAATGCCTGAATGAACACCCCTCAGAAGACCCCTCGAATGATTGATAGAAGTGCCAAACTCCACCTCGGTCTTCTTGCTCATACCAATGGGTTCACAGGACTTCAAACTGCAGGTCATAGCACTCCTCAACAACCTATGCACGGCATTACCAATCAAATAACCTAGCATCAAACAACGCCACAGTCTAGCCGAATCTGATGAAGTCGTCATCTCCCTATCAATCGTCGTGCTTCCGAGCAAATAATACAAATTGTTTCTTCTGATGCCCTTCATCATAATCATGGACCCCGATGTGACCTTCAAACGTGCATCCACCAAGGTCACTTTATAGCCAGATGCCACCAAAGCTCCTAGTGAAATGATGTTCTTCGACAACTGCGGAACGAACCTCACTTCTTCCAACTCCCGCACCATCCCGTCACTCATCTTAATCCGAACGGTACCAATACCACCAATAGAGCATGCATGTCCATTACCCATGAGCACAACATCCTCTCTTTCCAACTTCTGAAAGCTGGAGAACCAATCCCTCCTAGGGCAAACGTGGTATGAAGCACCCGAATCCAACATCCACTCTGTAGAGTTAGCAACACAAACTGACGGAAGTACAGACAACGAATAGCCTGAAGAATCCGAATCTGAATTGTTGACACTAGTCTTGACAACATTCACCTCTGAAGTTTGTACAGCTTTCCCCTTATTCTTCTCGGCTCGATCTAACTTTAGGCATTCAGCTTTCCAATGTCCATCCTCTTTACAAAAGGCACACTGATTCCTACGAATCCCACGATGTGCACATCTAGACTGCGACCTCCTGCTTCGGTTTGAACCACGGCCATGAACTACTAATGCATCTCCCGATGCCTTCTCGGAGGACTCATCAACACTCTTCCTCAACTCATAATTCACCAACGCTGAGGTCACCTCCTTGTAACTAACAGTAGTTCTTCCATTAATCATAGTTAGGACAAACGTACCAAAATCATCATCTGGCAACGAACACAAAAGTAGCATCGCCTTGTCTTCATCCTCAACCATGATATCCACATTAGCCATGTCTGAAAGTAGCTTTGTGAAGTTATTAACATGCTCCCTAATGGAAACTCCCCTCTTCATCTTGAACTGGTAAAACCTCTTCTTCAAGTGAAGCCGATTCTCAATGCTCTTAGTAAGATACTTTTCATTGAGTGTTTCCCACATATTCTTCACCGAAGTCTCGTTCATCACGTCATAAATAAGATCCGGCGTCAAGCATGACCGAATAACTCCACACGCCCTACTATTCATCTTCTTCCAAACCTTAGCTTCCATCTCGGCAGGTTTCTCTTGTAACTCAAGAGTCTCCTCCAAATTCTGAGCGTCCAAGGCGTCCATCACCTGACATCTCCACAATCCGAAATTAATCTTGTCGTCGAACTTCGGAACATCAATCTTCATGTTATTGATGCTCAAACTGTGTATCGTCTTCGAAAGAGACGATCCCGATGTGCTTGTTTCACCCATGTTGTCGATCTAATCTTCAAATAGGAATCCTTCAGCGAATCCTTCAAACAAGCTCTCGAGTCCAACCCGGAGCTCTGATACCACTTGTTGTGCGCAGCGGAAATTTCGGCAGCACTTCGGCAGCACAACAAGAGAGATTAGATCGATAAGAATTCCCGTTTCACCAAGGAAACAAGAATCTGAAGCGGAACAATCACTCAATTTAAACCCTCACACAAACTCTCAGATCCCTCACACAAACTCTCTCTACAAAAGGAGCCAAAAAGAGCCTCTGTTCGTTTTTCGTAGCCGCCAACAAAAAAAACCCCAGAGTCTCTGACCTCGCACCCAATTGCACAGCCTCCTGTGCACTTGAATCAGCCGCTCCTTTTTATCACTGCCTTGGCCCTCGTGTTTTTCTCCTTCAGCCGCAAAGCATACCCAGCCCCTTGCACACACCCCCACAAAACCCTAGGATGGGTATTAATAGCAGGGGATGTCGGGTCAATCGGGTAGGCTAGCAAAATTGTCCGCTGGACAATTCACAAAGCAACACACAACAAAGCAACCCATGTGAAACACAGCAACCCACGTGAACACATTCACGTGAAGGTGGACCCCATTCACAGAAAGTAGAAGAAAGTATTTGTTAGCCAAATAAAAATCTTCTCAGTTAATTTAATATCCAAAAACTGTAAATTTAATTCAAATAGATATGCTTTAATATTTTATGAATATTCATGAATATTTCATAAATATTGGGCATTTGACGTAGATTATTTCCATTTCTACACCCGGTGGTGTCATTTAAAAAAAGAACGCTTTGTCACTATGAAAAACTCTGAAGTTGTGGTGAAAGTATACTAGTTTTATACTTGTTGTCAAAATACATGATAAATAGTGTGAGTCACACTAATTCAATTCACTGGGGACAGGAATTTTGAAAATTTTAAAAATTTGTTTCAGCCAAAATTTGTTATCTGCTTGCTGCTTACTTTCTTGGGATACTTGCCTGGGGTCATCTACGCTCTCTATGTAGTCGTCATCGACTAAAATAATTCCATCAAATTCCATTCCAGGTACTGGAGCATTACACATTTCCCCATTTTTCTAACTCTCTAGCTATTTGTTTTTCATAATATTAAAATTTAAGAAAACTGATCATCTCTTTTATGTCTCAGGAAAAAAAGGCAATGCATGAATCGTCTCATATGACTTGTATTTACTTTGTTATTATTACCATTCTAGCTAATTTAACTTGTATTGTTGTTTGTTATATTATATTGTATGATGTGTGTCTCTTGTAATTAAATCAAAGGCTGTGCTATAGCAACAAGCGTTGAACTTCGAATGCATGCGGTGAATTTTTTTGAACACTGAGATCCCGTTTGGCAAATGGTTAAGAAAGAGGGGTTAAAAAGAAAGATTAATGTACTTAGCTCATTCGATAATCTGAAGGACTAAATTATTAACCTGTTAAATAAGTTTTATTTTAGTCCTTGTGATCAGTTTTAGTGTTTGTGAATAACAATAATTTTGACTATTTTCTTTATAATTAGAAATGTTAACTTTTAATCCTTCTAAATAGGAGTATTAGTAAACCCCTTATTTTGAGGAGTTAACTCATTTTAATCCCTCTAGAGGGGTTTGCTTAACCCTTCTATATTTTTTATGTTTGACAAATTATGAAGTGTTAACTCACTTTAACCCTTGTATAAATTTTTTGTGTTTGGCGGGTTAAGAAGGGGTTAAATCTTCTTAACCCCTCACTTAACCATTTGCCAAACGGTCGCGACTCGTTATGATTGTTTGATGGGCATGACTGTTGTTGATAATATCAACTTGATATCAGAAAGCTCCCACCTTAAGTTTGGACGATCATCAGATAGCCTCTTATGACTTTCCAAGTATTAGAAAACCCTCTTTTTTTTTTGGAAAAGACAGAAAACCCTCATTTAAGTTAGGGGTTATCAAAAGATCCCCTTAAAATTTACGATCTTATTAGAAAAGCCCCATAACATGCTAAATATCAGAAAGCCCCAAGTTTAGCATGGCGAATAAAATAAGGCAGGGAGATAAACGCTATCAGGTATTTTTTTTAATCATAAACTTAAAGGGTGTTTGGGTGTTTTCTGGTAACCCTTAACTTAAAAGGGGTTTTCCGATATTATAAAAGTTAAGAGAGGTTATCAGATAATCTATTTTTTTTTTTTGCGCGTACTGATAAAGCCGAGAAAATACGTAATAGTTTCATCATACTGACAATAAATCTCATCTAGTCCAAGAAAACTAGCTAAACGTTTTCAACCTCCATATTATTATCACAACAAAAATGTCAATAACACAATTTCCCAACTACCATTAAAATAAAAAAACGTTGTTCAAACATACAACCCAAAATCTTTAAAGCAAGAAACTTCACAAGTACAAAATTCAATCAAGAACAATCACCAGCCCTAAAACCTTATCAGACTTTTCATATAAAAATAGTTTCAACATCCTAATTAGAAACCTTACCCGCCCACAAGAATACAAGATGAAAGTTTTCAACCTCCATGTTCATAATTATCACAACAAAAACTTTAATAACACACAAAATTTTCCAACTGCCATACAAAACAGTAAAACGTTATTTAAATCTTTCAACCCTAAAACCTCTAAAATCAATAAACATCATAATTCCATTCAATCAAGAACATCACAACTCCACCAAACCTACTTGCAGATCTGCTCAACGGCGGCCACAATTTGTGGCGGCTGGACCACAGTCCACTCTTCCAGTGTGCCAGCATACGGCGTGGGCACATCCTGCGACGACAAACACATCACCGGAGCATCCAAATAATCCCAGAAATTGTCAATGATCGCAGACCTCAAGCTTGCCCCGATCCCACCCGTTCTCATACACTCCTCGACTATAAGCACCCTGTGCGTCTTTTTGATGGAGTTCCCGATGGTATATAAATCAAATGGCTTTAGAGATCGGATGTCAATAACCTCAGGATCGTACCCTTTGTTAACCAAAGTTTTTGCTGCTTGCATAACATGATACCTCATTCTAGAGTATGTGAGGATGGTTACGTGCTCTCCGGGCCTCACCATTTCTGCCTCCTCTAAAGAACAGATGTACTCTTCGTCAGGGATTCTTTCTTTGAGATTGTAGAGGAGCACGTGTTCAAAGAGGACTACAGGGTTTTCACTCCGGATGGCTGCTTTCATGAGACCCTTGGCATTGTAAGGGGTCGAACATGCGACCATCTGGAGGCCAGGGATGGACTGGAAGTAGGATTCGAGACGCTGAGAGTGCTCGGCACCAAGCTGACGCCCAACACCACCAGGACCCCTGATAACAACCGGGATGGTGAACTGGCCACCGGAGGTATAATGGAGCATGCCACAGTTGTTGGAGATTTGGTTGTAGGCTAGCAATAGGAAACCCATGTTCATGCCCTCGATGACTGGCCTTAGACCAGCGGAGGCTGCTGCGCCAATGGCCATGCCAGTGAATGAGTTCTCAGCTATTGGAGTATCGAGGACTCTGAGATCTCCGTACTTTGTGGCCAAGCCTTTGGTCACCTTGTAGGAGCCACCGTAGTGGCCAACATCTTCGCCCATAACACATACTTTAGCATCTCGCTCCATCTCTTCCTCAAGACCTTCTCTTAGAGCCTCGAATAACAGAAGCTCGTGGCTGCATATAGATAAGTCATTACTTTCAATAAAAGGCATGAAAAAGAGGGGTCCAACATAACTAAAACTGGAACCAGATAACAATATATATTTCGTTTTGTATGTGTCACCGAACGGATCAGAAATTGTCAGGAGCAAATTTTTTTATATTGCACACCTCCATGCTAGACAAATAACATCTAGAAAAATTGGGAAATAGTAAGGACTTCGAAGTACAGGTAACAAGAAGCAACTAATGATTTCACAGCATCGGATTTAACATACAAACAATATGAAAACAAAGGAAAGAAAGCCCTTATTGTAGTGCACATCTCAAAAAGAGGTATGGAAAAGGGTACAATTATGAAGTATAGACTTCTGGGCATTTGATGTGGGCTCATAGGACACTTACTAACATGGTGTCTGCCAAGGGTGTAATCCAGCACAAGGAATTGGGAACATTGACATGCTTACACTGTGCTCCAAATGCGAGCCCCATTTTAATTAGGTTGAAGACTAGTGTTGGATCCCAAAGAGAAAGACCAGGCCTAAATCCTTAAATGTGTAGCTCCGTAACAGTTTGATATCATATTCTTCTTCATTCCTACTGCGTCGTAAGGGTACTTCAGTTTCCCATGATAATAGAAATCAGAATACACAGCAACTGTGCAGCCAGTTAAATATGGGGTATGGAGATAATGTTGAAGTAAAATCCTCAGGACATTTCCTAATGAGGATACCACAAGGAAACTTGCATAGCTCATCAAAGAAAAAATTGTTACATAAATAACAGTAGCTAGTCTTTTATAGTCACCAGCAACGTTTGAACAAGCTTTTAGAAACTCAATTTGAAAATCAGTTAGAATCAATTTAAAGGGTAATAGCTTCAAAACTCAAAAGAAAAGCTACTTATCCCTTAAAGCTTACGTCTCGTTATTTAAAGTAACACTAAAGTGTACGCTTCGTTCTACATGAGTCGCTACTTTTTTTAAGCACACGCTTTAGTCAAGACAAGATGATATAAGAGGGTTTTTTTTTTGTATTAGGATTTTATATTCATATCGAGAGTTCAATTTTTTTCTCTTTCTTGGGAGTTGTGCCTATTTTTATACGTCTTTATCATAAGTTTTGAATCAATGTAGTGGGTAAGTTTTGTTTTCTAACAAGGAGATCTAATTTTAAATCATGGGTCTTCAACTTGATCACATGACTATAATATATGCAGCTTAGTTTATTATGGTTTGCATCTATAATTAGCATCATTACTTTTTCTTTCCTAATCAAGATCTAAATGTATCCATTTTCAAATTATTATACCACTATATATTATATGTTTATTACATTGACAATTTTAAAATAAAATATACTTTTGAGGTTTATGCCTTGCACTTTGAAGCTTACGCCTCGCTTCATAAAAGGGTCCAAGTGTTTCCACTTCTTTAAACATTGGTCACCAAAAAGCACAACATTCTTTTTCTATTGCATTAGCCTGAACATGATCCAATAGTTAATCTAAATGACAATAAGACAGTAAGGATGAATTTCTCTATTTAAGGCATCCCATTGCTCTCTCTCAAATGAATATATGTTTCTACATGGAAATGGCAACAAATTATTTCTTTTTTATGTGTGCATGACTATGAAGAGATCCTAGTGTGAAGCAGTGGTGGATTTAAGGTGGGAACAGTGGGGGCACTTGCCCTCACTAACCCCCTAAGATTAATATTTAGTATTAGGGCTCATTTGTTATTGGAAAAAAACCATGTTACGCAACTCACTGTGTTGCGTTATGTAACCTAACAGACCTTAAATGTTACGTAACCTTATGAAATAACTTAGACACATTATAATTCTACGTTATTACAATATAATATGTGTTATTTCAATGTGACTTACATTATTTCAATATAACATGCATTATTTCAGTATAACCTAAGTATTTCAATATAAGTTCTAGAGACATGAGAGTATATTCTTTCTTAAAACTTGAAGTAGTTAAGTAATTACTTTTAAATTGTTTGTTAAGACTTCATGTCTTGTTTTGATGACACCATTCAATTGTGAATCTTCCTAGTAAATCCATATAGCTTGTATTAAATTAAAGAATTTTTATTAAAATATTTTTTTGTTATGATACATTGTTCTTAATTCTTAAAATTATAATGAACGTCCTTTATATTTTTAAAATTAAACATTAAGAAAAGATTTTGTTCCTAATTGCAAAGTGATGTTTGAAAATTTTGATGATTCTCATTATTAAAGTCATTATGAATGTTTTCTACTTATAAAATATGTCAATAATTAGTAAACAAAATAACCTACCCTATGGGTTATGCTTTTCTACATTTTTTTCTTTAACCCTTAACAGAAGATAGAGCGTTACGTTATGCATTATTGTTATTTTCAACATTGTCCATTTTCTAATATTTTTCCTCAATATATTTGATCCGTAACCCCTCAACCCTAGGATCATGAAAATCAGCATCTAAAACGGGCCAAAATCCAATCCATTTGCCCAATATTTCTAATCAATTCCCAAAATTTGAAGTGAAACCCACCATTTCGGCTCTGTAATAGCAAGAGTAGTCTACTTGAAAGTTTCAGGTAGCGCGTCCATTTTTTCAGTTTGGCCCCACTAAATTTATCCCATTACTTGGTCACCTATGTTTAAAAAGATCTTTGATGGCATAGACAATAAGAAAATCATACAACCTTATCAAAATATGAAAATGTGGAGGGAACAATTATAAAGAACTTCCGTAAGGTACTTCAACTGACTCTATCTTATTCGTACATGGATATGCATATTTGATATTGGTTTCATAATATTTAGGTAAAAATATCATATACTAGTTATACCTGTAGGTTTATAGTCTTGCCCCCAGTGACCAAAGTTTCTAGATCCACCGCTTGTGTCAATTGCAGGACTTGTGACTTTCTATGATCCTTATATGATGCTCCATGTACATGTATAGCAACTTCTAACTTATTACATGGAGCATGGACGTGTTTATGTCCTCCCAACTCACTGAATGATCTATGTTAGCAGTTTCAGCCTTTTGAATGCATTGAAGTGTAAAGCATGTGAAAGAAAAAAAACAAGGATGATGATGTGAGCTTTAAGTAGTTCACACAAGATTTACTAGTTCAAACATGAAACTAAAATCAAAGTATGACAAAAATGATAATAACAAAGCTAACAAGACTATGAAAGTAACATGAGATAACTCTAGTTAAGTAAACAAGTGAGAATTGCCAATTAAAGGAAGTGCTTCTGAGTTCTGTACGTAAAGTGAGGATATGCGACTGGATCCACAGGAAAATTAGGACAACCTTTTTTGATATATAGTTGACAAAAGGTGGAAAGAGGTAAATTAAAAAATATAAATTCAGAAATAATTTGGATGCTCAGGAAAATATATAAGAGGCAAAAAAAAAAAAGAATTTTAAAGCCAGCCAATACTGTGGAAAGACAGATAAAAAAAACCTTATTTCAAGCGCAAATAACAACCAAAAACCATTTAGTATTTCCAAAGTTCTTTCTAATATGTTTAAGATCCTACATTAAATATCCGAATAAATTCATGTGAGAATATTAATGTAATTATTTCACTATGCCATCATGCATGGCTACCGGCACTCCTAAGTCTCCTATATAAGATTGTGACATGTTGGACATACATATCCAACATGACACTTTCCCAATGTACGAGTTGTTTTGACTGTAGTTCTTAGAATTTTTATCATGTCGATATGTCCTGCCATGCCATGCCCATGCGAATGGGTCCATGTTTTGCTTATTAAGGAGAAGGAATCCAGCCCATATAAAATAAATGGAATTTTTTATATTCATGAATCATGGTCTATAAGAAATTTATATTATTTACTTTAAAATGCAGTTTGACTGACAAACATAATAAGTAGCAGTGGCATATCAAGGTATTAGATCAAAGGGGTAAAATGCTCCGTATCATAATTTTGAATAAAGCTACACAATAGACATGAAGAGGCTGATTTTCCATTTCATAGAGTTCTTTTTTTATTCCAGAGGTGAATAATTAGACTTTCATGTAGATATCTAGGATACAGGTACGGAATCTCAATTCAGACTATTGAAGGTTGCCTATATATTGAGAAAACTACATGATAAAAATCCAGACTACTATGGCCAAGAGTACAGATACAGAATATTTCAGCTTACATTTTCTCCAGCTTTTCTTAGTTGGAACCCTTAAGGATTATACCAGTTTAGGGATACACACAAGATAAAGAGAACAAAGTAGACATATAAGACAATGTTTTTTTTGCCATCTACTTGATTGTGTGTAAAGGGCCTAGTTTGAGTGAAATGATGAGCATGCAAAATGCAATAAGATGTAGGTTTAAGTCATATGCCTGTGTGGCGGTGTGGCCATGTTTATGCCAACATGTGCAGCTAAATTAGGGGTATGAGTGGAGCAGAATTCCTAATAACTGGATCCAAATTTGAAAATTAGTGCACCATCCAAATCCATCGAAATATATCCATGTTTACATGGCCTTCAATGTAGTATGCTCCTATGCTTCAAGAAAGAATGGTATTCTGCATGAATATCTTAAAAGGTGACTAATATATCACAAATTGCTATTGTGATTGTTCCAAGTGAGAAACAAATATGGGGACATGTAGAATATGACACGCTTTGCATGATCTAAATTATATATGAGTTTAGAAAAGTTTTTCATTCATGCTTTTGTGAAGACTAGGCTAAATAGTCTACTTTTCTAGATGGAAAAACGAGATTGTTTCTTGTGAAAAAGTACAAACCAATATGTTTTGCTGTGAAGTGTATTGCACCCTGGTGATCACAGAAAGTTGCCCAATTTGGGAAACAACGACTGAACATTTTGTTAATAATTTTGGATGGAATTAGACAACATGGGTGATTTCCCCTTTCCAGACAAGCAAAAATCTCCCTTGTTAACTAATCTAGCTCCAATGCACATCTCCTACAAAGATCAGTTTTTTTTTAAAATTTATGGGTTCAACCTTGTCATGAATGATGATAGATTCACACTCCATTTCTGCAAATATCGATTATTATTGTGACAATAAGCAACCAACTCAGAGATTTGAAATTTGAGCAATTTCCATAGAATTATTTCAGATAGAAATCAATTAAAAGAAAATTTTCAATTAACTAGAACAAATTAGAGGCACAACACAACAACTAACCCAGGTTTCGAGGTCGCAGCCGCAGCGGCCTTCTCCTACAAAAAACAAACCCAAACACAAAAACCTCAATAAAAATCCCAAAAAAAATTTAAAAAACACAAAAATTCAAGAACTAAACTGCAACTGCGTTGCTAATCAAGCCGCATCCCCGCTGCCTAGCATCAGATCTGACGACCAGAACGCTCCTCCTCCACCCTACACCCGGAAAAAAAAAACATCACATTTACATCCAAACATCAAGTTTCTAGGGTTTTTTTTCTCCCCCTAATTGAAGTGAGAATCAAGAACCTGAGGGAGGTCCGGTGATGGATCCGATCCGGAGTTTGTTGGAGGCGGCGGGGTTGAGGGAGGCGGAGGCGATGGCCGAGGTTTGAAGAGCCATTGCCATTGTTTTTTTAGAGAGAGAAAGCGATGAGAGGGAGGAGAGAGAGAGAGATTATAAAGGAGGGAGAGGAGAAAGCAGTTGAGGGTCGGCGTCCAAGAGTCTTGGCGGAGAGAGCGAGGTTCCGGGGCTTCGATAAAATCGATCTGGGGACAGGTGGCGATTGTGCTCACGGACCACCGTGTTAACGTGGACCAGCGGAAGAATCAAAGTGATTTATGAGCTTTACTACTTATACGCCAAAGTTCACCCTCTTTTTATGCCCTTGATTTCTGGTTTGAGGCATCGACGCTTCCGAGGTTGATATTACTCTAATTACTATATGCTTTACACGATTTTGGCAAGCTCATCAAAAAGCAGGCTAAGACCATCTCCAACACGGCGGCAAAATGCAGAAAAAAGTGCATTTGTCGTTGCGTTTAATCTCCAACTCGCGGTATTTTAGTGGTGATGAATAGTGTGACGTCATATTTAGCATCGTACTGTTCATCACTGCATTACTATTTTTTTATTTTTTAGCTTTTTTAATATTTTAATTTTATGTATTTACAAATTGACCCCAATTGTTTTATTAAATTTATAAAACAACCCCAATAATATTTAAATTTTATAATTTTACCCTAATTGTATAATTTGGACAAAATAAATTATTTTTTAAAAATGGAAATAATGTTAAAATTTAAAAGTCATTATTATTAATTATAATATTAATATCTAGACATTATAAGTAAAGTCCCATGAAATGTAAATTAAAAATATAAAGAGCAATCCTAATACATAATTCAAATATAAATTACATATCTGAAATACATAACATATAAAAATTGACACACATATTATAAAACTTCATTAAAATAAAATATAAAATACAAACTAAACATATAACATTACATAAGATGGACAAGCAACTCTCAATAATCTGATAGATCTGATCCAGAGTGTCTAATACAATATCATTGAAATAATTGCCAAAATTATAAGCAGACCATTATTCTTGTTGATTTTTTTTTGTGTTATTTTAGCTGTTGAGCTCGAACGTACTCACGTACGTTTGGATCAGCAATGGAATTCAAATCTTTCATTATAATTTTTCATTCATCTCTATCTTTTTTCATGGCTATCTTTTCTCGTTCAATATCAAATGCTACTTGCCTGTCCAAGCTCGCCTTGTCTAACCTGTCTATAAGTCGGTTGTTATTTGTATCGATGGAGTCCACTACACTTGACTCATGGTCATCATTTTTCCTTTTCAATTTGGCTTTTTTTTACCCCAATAGGTCGTTTAGGTGGAGTAAATGATGACAGTCCGGGAGATGTCGATATAGGAGAATCCGGAGTGGGATTATCTGATTGTGATGAGTCGAAGTTCACACTTTGGGGTTGTCTTCGTCCAACTTGTCTTACTGTGGGGACATCATCTTTAAATTTTTCAAAAAATTTAACCATATTCCAGACATGATCAAATTTGAAACCTTTTTTGTACTTTGGTTCTTGCATAAATAACATCTTTGCTCGAACTAACTGTAAATTATAGTGAACATCAAGTTATGTATTTCAAAAATAATAATAAATTTTAAAAGATAATTAATAGAATACTTACAATATCTTCATCTGAAGCACCACTTGGATTCAGATTCTCTACTTGTCTCAAGCACGCATTCAATTTTCTTACTTCATTACTTATGATTTCCATTCGAGAACAAACCGATCGGCTCGTACGCACCTCAAAATGCTGATCTCGAAGTTCATTGTATCTGTCCTCCACACGAGATCAAAATGCATTTCGAGACTGGTTTCTACCGATAATAGGGTCTTGAGAAATATCCATGAATACTTGACAAATGAGCACATCTTCAGTAACCGTGTATCCAGATGATCGAACATACATTTTATTTTGTACAAAGCGGTTAGTTTGGAGATTAGAAATACTTTGAAGAAATACTTCGAATTGGATGGTTTGAAGTAGGATTCATGAATGTTATTTATAGCCAATCCAAATTCGTTTTTTTTTTGTTTGAATTTGAATTTGAATTTGAATTTAAATTTGTCAGTGGTCAACATTTGAAATTGAATTGTTGTGTACAAACTGATCATCTTTACACATTGTCCAACATTGTCGGTGGGAATCATTTTCTAAAATCAGCTCAGCTTTACACATTACCCAACGTATACAGCTAAGCATTCATTGAATTTGAATCAACTCAGCTTTACACATTGCCCAACGTATACAGCTAAGCATTCATTGAATTATGTGAAAGCTTTATATGAGTGGGAATCATTTTCTGAAATCAGCTCAGCTTTACACATTATCCAACATATACAGCTAAGCATTCATTGAATTTGATACGAGTCGCCGTGCGAGCACTCTTGATCGCAGAATTATCAAGAGTGGGTAGAGAAGAAAACGACAGAAGAACACAAGAGTTATAATTAGGGCGAAGGAAAATACCTTCTCTAGATTATGAGAATCAATTGGATTTATAAAATCTCTCTCACACAATCTCTCTAGATCAAAGAACAACCTCCCTGATCTCTTTTCTGATTACAATCTGAGTGATAAACCCTAGAAAAGTCGTGTTTCTATTTATACTAAACAAAAATCCTAAACGGTGCAGGAAATAGGCCCAGGCCCATAACCGCTACGCGGTCGACCGCAGTGACCAAGTCGGTCGACCGGCCAGAACGTCGATTTCTGGAAAAATCGCTTACAGGGTTTCTGGTCGACCGCAGCGCCTACAGTGGTCGACCGTTCTCAGTCCAGAGACACAGTCTGGGTCTGTGCACTACGCGGTCGACCGCAGTGACACATGCGGTCGACCGGACAGAGCTCAAGCTGTAATTTCTGCAGTTTGACGAATCCTTCGACTTTGCCACCTCCAATGACCTCGTCCACGACTCCTCTACTCTATTCTTAAGATACCATGAGAATCATCTATTCTCAAGCTCCCATGAGAAGATACACCCGTATCAGAATTGTGTGAAATATCTATATGAGTGGGAATCATTTTCTGAAATCAGCTCAGCTTTACACATTGTCCAACGTATACACAGCTAAGCATTCCTTGAATTATGTGAAAACTTTATATGAGTGGGAATCATTTTTTAAAATCAGCTTAGTTTTACACATTGTCCAACGTATACAGGTAAGCAAATTTGAATTTTGTGACAAATTGATAACAGCTGGAAAGCATTTTCTAAAATCAGCTCAGCTTTACACATTGTTCAACGTATACAGCTAAGCAAATTTGAATTTTGTGACAAATTGATAATAGTTGCAAAGCATTTCCTAAAATCAGCTCAGCTTTACACATTGTTCAACGTATACAGCTAAGCAAAGTTTTATAAATAGCATACTAGATTAGATACCTCCACACAATTATTAGTTATTGTGTTAAAATTATTATTCTCTATTTTTGCATACTTCAGTCATTCTTTTGTTACTTCAAAAATAAATTTCGATGCTGGAGGTCCATCATATTTATCATCATCTTCATCTTCGGATGATGATAATTTTCTATCTAATATCATTGCAGAGATTGATAAAACTAAACAAGTAGTTTGTGAGTACATCAACAACAACATGATCCTTGCTAACAATTTACATCAACAAAACTACCAACCGATCCATGGTGGCTCGATTCCTGATCATGCAGTGATCAACCGCAATCGAGAAACTGCGCATCAGAATTTGGTCATAGATTATTTTGCCGATAATCCACGTTTTGGAGAAGATATGTTTCGTCGTTAATATCGGATGTTAAGAAGTTTGTTCCTTCGTATTGTTGATGCAGTGAAAGATCATGACTACTACTTCCAACAACAAAGTGATGGACTTGGTAGAATGAGATTATTACCGTCACAGAAAGTAACAGTTATTTTTCGCATGTTAGCATACGGTCTACCAGCTGATGCTACGGACGAATACGTTAAAATAAGTAAGTCAACAGCAATTGAAAGTATGCCAAAATTTTGTCATGCTATGGTGGAGATATTCGCAGAGCGGTATCTACGAACACCTAACGCTAATGATATTGCTAGGCTACTCTATATTGGTAAAAAACGTGATTTTTCAGGAATGTTAGGAAGTCTTGATTGTATGCATTGGAAATAAAAAAATTATCCCACGACATGGTCTGAGCAATACGCAGGACGTAATGGGTCACCAACTATTATCCTTGAAGCTGTAGCAGATTATGATCTTTGGATATGACACGCATATTTTGGTATGCCAGGCACCAATAATGATATCAATGTGCTGGAGTCATCTAATCTTTTCTCTAATCTAGCTCAATGTATTGCTCCTCACGCTCACTATGTTATTCAAGGAAAAGAGTATAATATGAGTTATTATTTAGATGATGATATATATCCAAAATGGGCTACTATTGTACAAACAATCCAACAGCCACAAGGTAGGAAGAAAAAATATTTTGTCATGAAACAGGAAGCATGTAGAAAAGATGTAGAATGTGCGTTCGGTGTTCTCTAATCTCGATTTACAAAATTTTAGAAAACATGTATTACATGACATAATGACTGCATGCATTATTATGCACAATATGATAATCGAGGATGAACGTGATCTTTATGCACCAATTAAAGAAGTGAGGGAAGCACCAACACCAAAAGTTAATATTGTAGCAGATAAAACTATAAGATTTAATCAATTTATTGCACATTACAGATAATTAAGGATAAAGATGCTCATATTGCGCTTCGTAATGCATTGATAGATCATCTATGGGAGGAATACACTAATTCAAATAGTTAAGTGCATATTAAAATTATAATTTTTACATTGTTGTTAATGTTTAATTATTTTTTTGTATCTGTTGTGTTCGTAAATGTAATATTTTGGCAATATCAATAATAAATATAGATTATTTTAGCAATCAAGTTATTTTTATTAATAAAATAATATTTTATTGTTTTATTAGTTTAATTTTTTAAGTAATAAATTATTTTCTTTGAAAAATATGTAAAAAAATAAAATTTGTTATGTGGGGTTAATTGTTGAAATAGTTAAAAATACAGAGAATAAAAAACAATAATATAAAAGTAGATAAAAAGAAATATCCTGAGAATATTCTTTTTTGGTGCAAAAAATGGTGCATTGGGTTGGAGATGAATTACTGTTTGATGTGACTTTTGCACCATTTTGGTGTAAAATTTACACCATTTTTGTGCGATGGGTTGGAGATGCCCTAAGGTTGATCCTAACCCAGTTTTGAGTTAAATCGGTTTTGTTTTGATCTAGAGGAAAAATAGATCAAAATAGAACCAGTTTTAGGGGCTTTTTCCGACTTTTAAAAAGGAGACCAATTATGGTCTATTTTTCTAACATCTTCCCAAAATAGGATCATGATCAGTCCTATTTCCATTTTACACGTTTACCAAATAGGTCTTTTAAGTTTTTTTTTTGATATTTTATTACCATAAAGCTATGTTTTTAACTTTGATACCTCAAAATTTAGGCCTTTTTAACTTTGAGCTTGATGCCCCAAAGTTTATGCTTTGTTACCTTTGACAACTCAAAGTTTACACCTTTTCTAATTTTGATGCCCCGAAAATTTGCACATTCCTATAATTTGATACCACAAATTTTGGGAGCATCAAAGTGTCAAAACTAAAATTTTAGATATCAAAATTTACAAGATGTGAACTTTAGGGTATCAAAGTGTCAGAAGAAAATTTTAGGATATCAAAGTCAATAAAAGGTGTAAACTTTAGGGTTTCAAAGTGTCTAAACAAAAAAGTTTAGAGTATCAAAAAATGTAATCTTTAAAGTATCGGAGTGTAAATAACCCTTAATAATTTGATACTCTCACATCCTAACTTGATTCCTCACTGTCCATATATATATTATTATAATATTATATTATATAATATATATATATATATATATAGTATTATTATATATACGGCTAAATACCCACATTGGTATTTTAATTCAACCCCAATTTGCCAACAGGTTTTTAATAGGAAATTCGGCGATAAGGACATTTTAATTGAATAAAATTACATTTAGGTCCTTTTTCTCGTCGGGGCCACTTTTCGGCGAAACTACCATCACGATGCGTTGCAACGTGGGGCTTAATATGTGTTTTTAAGATGCTGATGTGGCTCTGTTTTCTTGACGTGACAGCGAATTAACCCTTCTAAAAACCAATTCCCTCTCCCTCCTCATCTCCACACCCTTCTCCCCACCTCCTCCTCCTCCAATGAGCGGAGCCTCTCACCTAGCACTATCTCCATCGTCGAGATCCCTCCACCGCTTCTCCGCCGAGACCCAGATCATTCCACAGCCTCCAATCCTACCGTCGTCCCTCTCCCACCTCCACCCTCCCCCTTCTCCTTCGCCCTCCTTCGCCCTCTCCCTCCTCCCCTCCCTCCCCCTCCTCCCCCGCCCTCATCGTACGCCTCTCCACCGCCTCCTCCCTCTCCTACCGCCGACTTCAATATCTCAACTCCGCTCCCTCTTCATGCTCCCTCAAAACCCAGTTCAAACCTCTCAAAGGCGACGTCGCCTTCATCCTCTCCCAACTCTCGCCTCGAATCCCCATCCTTTACTTTCTTCCCTCTCTCTCCCTCGGCGCGTTATGTCTCCTCCCGCTAACGCCCCTCTCTCTCCCCCTGGCTGCGGCGTAATGTCTCACCGCAGCTTAATCGCCGATGGCGGCGGCGGGGGTGGGGCGGGTTCCACGCGCTGAGGACGAGGAAGACCGGAGAGGTGGCTTCTTATTGGTTGGCGCCGATGTTTTTCCCTGGCGTTTCTTCTTTGGTTGGAAGGGGATTGCGCTGGGTGGGAGACTTGTGGTGTGGTATTATTGGGAAAAAAAAGCAAGAGGGAGTGGGGTTTAGGGATAATTCTGTCCTTCCGCCCTCACCCCGGCGGCGAGACGGTATGGGACGATGCTTCTGATGACCGGCGGCTCCGCCTGGTGGGCTGATGGCGATGTCTGGAGCGGGGGAGGAGGTGGCGGAGTACTGATTTGGGGCGCTGGAGACGGGGTGCAGCGGAGATGGGTATGGTGGTGGTGGGTGGGGGGGTTGGTTGATGGGTTTTTGGGGGTGGGTGTTGGGCTGGCCGCGGCGAAGCGAACTGAGGCGATCAGCACGGCGGACTGGGGCTGAATTTTTTTTTTTTGAGCCAGCGGCGAGCGGCAGGGAGCAGGGGGGGACCCTCCCTTCCCGGGGGAGTGAACTCAGGCGGAGAGAAGAGAAAGGACCTAACATCAGCATTCTTAAACACAGATTAAGCCCCCCACGTTGCCACGCACGTAGATGGAGTTTCGCCGGGAAAAGTGGCTCGCCGACGCAGAAAAAAGCGACCTAAAATGGTAATTTTATTCAAATTAAAATGGTCTTCATCGCCGAATTTCTAATTAAAAATACCTTGTTGGGAATGGGGGGTGCAATTAAAATACCAATATGGGGTTATTTAGCCTATATATATATATATAATATATAATATATATATATATATATATATATATATTTTTTTTTTAATTTAATTTTTATAATTATTAAAAAATAATAAAATTTTTTTTATTAATATATATATATATATATATATTATTAGAGAGAGAGAGACCGAGAGGAGAGAGAGAGGAGAGGAATAATGGAGTTGAGCTGGCAGCTCACACTCCCCCGTGAGCTGCCAAGTTGTATGACATGTGAGTCCCCTACTTAGTCACATTCAATTGTGGGGCTTACATGTCAATACAACTTACAGCTCCCCACGGGGAGAGGTGAGCTGCCAGCTCACCTCATTATCTGCATTATATATATACTATATAATATATATATATATATAAAAATTAAAAAAAATTTAAATTATTATAAATAATTATATAAAAAAAATTAATATATAGATATATATATATATATATATATATAATAAATATTTGTCAAGAAAATTGTTTCCCATTCACTTTTGTATGTTGATATTCTTGAATGCATTTTTTATACTTTGATTTGGTAACGAAATTGTTTTCCATTCACTTTTCTACGCTGATATTCATTTTTTATACTTCGAGGTACTAAACCAATCAAATCAGAGCCCCACAGTATCAAAGGTTGAAAGAATGAAACTTCGAGGTACTAAAGTTCTTCAAAACTGCGTAATTTATATGCATAATCTAAGGGCACTTTGTACTTAATCTATTTTAAAATTAGCCGTTCCTCAACTATTTTATACGCGTTAATCTAAGGGCATTCTGTAGATAAACCTCATCATTAATATTTACCATTCGCCGACTATTTTAGTAGCAATTATATCTCAACTGTTATTGTAGAAGTTATCATCCATTTAATGAATATCAAATTAATGAGCTCTCGTTAATGGGCGCTACTTGGTTTTAACTGAACTTTGTCTCTGACTAACCCAACCCGCTCATTTTTCAGTCTTACAATTACGACTTTTCGAAGTTGAGTTGGGCTAATTTAAGATTTTTTTTTATTGGATTCAGAATTGACTCATGACCCTTGTCCAATCCTTTGACCAAATACAAAACCAGACCCAATCGAAACTTGCAAGAAATTGAATGGCTCTATATCTCGACTTATTATGTCTAAGGCCTCGTTTGGTATGTAGGAATTGGTGTGAATAGAATGCTCATTCTCATTTCTCAATCGAAAATACCAAAACATATTATTATTTTGGAAACTAGAATGCCCCCATTCTCACTTCTCATCCATTCCTAACTTTGTGAGAATGGATATTCCTAATAAGTTAGTAAGGAATGGACATTCTCACTTAAAATGAAAAAAAAAATTTAAAATAGATACAAAATAGTTTTAAATTATTTATTAATTATCTATACAAAAAAAAAAGATTTTTATTCCTACTATATTCTCTAATTACACCCAAATAAGAATGGAAACGAGCATTTTATTCTCATATCCCATTCTATTCTTTGATCCATTCCATTCTCACTTGATCCGATTTCAACACAAATAGAGCATAAGGAGAATGTTCAATTATTATTTATTGCTATTGCCAGCTATATATTTTTAGATTACGAACTTAGTGTTTATCTTAGTCCTTGCAATATGACCATGTTTGTTTTTTGAACTCAACCTAATTGATCCAAAACGAGCGAAAAAAAATCTAGCTCACCTGTACTACAACTCAATCCACCGCATTTAATCTCTTTAAAGATCGAATAGATTTGGGGCGAATTTTTCTATTTGACGCTCTTATTATAAATTATACTATTATTTCCATAGATACTTGTATGTGTTACTTAGACTGTTCTATTCAAATTAAAGATCGAGTTTAAATTGTTATATCCTTGTGATGATCTTAGATATCAATCTTCCATGTATGTTAGATCTAGTCGTAACGGATCTAAAACACAAATCCAATTATCGGGTTTGTTATGGGGTCATGCGCATATGTGCATCCAATGCAGACAAAACCTATTGGGTAATTTCACAACAACCCCACCTCAAATCTTGGGGGTTCTTTTAGATATCATTCTGAACTTTGTTTATGCCACATAACACTCATAAACTTTGGGTATCTTAGAAACTACTCTGAATTTTTTCTTATCAAACCCCATACATGTAAGTTGCAAATAACTAAAATTCTTTGATAGAAAAAAAACATAAAACATAAAATAGAAAAAAAAAATTTACGTGATGTATTACATTGCCTATGAATCACAAAAGACAATTTGGATTTTTTTTTCTCTCAAGAAAATTTTAGTTATTTACAAATTACATATAAGAGGCGAGAAGAGGTCAAAGTTCAAAAAGATTTTATGAGACATTCCGAAGTTAATGAAGTAATCGAACTTGTTTGAATATATTTCACAATCTACTCTTTGATTACTATTCTAAGAATATATCAACAACATATATGACCATTGTCATTTATTTCATGTGACTTCTCTACAGTTCACATGTCTGTCTGCATACCGAAAGTGCTCAAACAAATTTGGTTTTTTTTTTTGTTCACATTGTCATTTGTTTATTTATACCTTTTCTTTTGCTCAACAAATTTGATATTTATACCACCTAATAATAAAGAAACCTGGATTCAATTATTTCTCTATATAAGCTAGGTTTACAATTTCCAAATCTTGCAATCTTTTCACGCACGGTCCTTTAGTTTATAAATATGCAACATCTCCATCTCATTTCAATTCGTGACGCGCCAAGCAAATCATAAACCTAAATATCACTGTATCAATAGTGCACCCTTTTTTTTGGGTGGTTGTTGCTGTTCAGTGCATTGATTTTGAAATCTCCTTGTCTTGAACTATTTTAAGTATGTTTTGATGCATCTGAATTTAAAGGATTTGGACTAAATACTTTCTTCTAAATTAAATGATTTAGCACAATGTTTTATTGTAAAGTAGAGGATTTCGCATACTGATTATATTTTTGAGAGACTATACAATAAGGAAAATGATAGGGGCACACCCCAACCACATCCCAAACCACACCCCCTCTCTCATATGCTACAGTACACCGGGCCTCACATTGAATTTTAAAATTTTAAAATCCAATGTGAGGCCCGGTGTACTGTAGCATATGAGAGAGAGAGAGAGAGAGAGGTGTGTGGTTTGGGATATGGTTTGGGATGTGCCCCTAGTGCCACCCATACAATAATCTACATTGGTTTTGGCCCGTTACTAGTGATCTTAGCATTCACCAAATTCTATAGGTAATAAATAAATTAATAAAGAAATAATTATATTTTGTTGTTTCCATTAGGAAGAGTAATTTATAGTAGACAATTATTATGAATTTAGGCTCTCAAATACTTATATATGGTTTTTTTTTCTGAGAGTGGTTCTTATAATTTCATTTCATTCATAAGAAGAAACTAAACCAACTTATGAAAGGACCTTCTACATCAAGTACATATTTTATGCAAGTAGAGCTCATACTTACCCATCTCAATGGAAACATTACAAAGAAATGCATATTACGCATAACTGAAGAACAAGACCTTTGAATCATCTTGACCTGAAAATATTAACTTAGACCTTAACTTATTAAGAGCCCTCTTATTTACAGAGCCAAACATAGAGATAGAGAAGAACTTATGTACATTTTGTTACAGGAAGGAACTGATGGTCATCTTCTCGTCTTAACCATATCGTTGAACGAGTTCTTTTAACATGATCCAAGAAAAGCCTATGCCTGCGAACAGATAAACAAAAAATATTACACCTTGATCTGGAATATTGAAGTGATAACTTTTATATTATGGATGATTAGGAGTAATTGAAGCATTATATAGTTCCAATTAAATCCCAACTTCAATACATCAGTTTGCTTGGATGTTGTTACAATGTAAGAAATGCAACACACGCCCCAATGTAAAATCTAAAATTAGCTCTCACAGTGATGTAAAGTCCTCTAATATTGATATAAAGTCCTGCAGATAGACCCTCCATCGAAAATCATATACGAAGGAGAATGTGACATATGTCCCAATACAAATTTTAAAATTAATGATTGTATTGATACAATATTATCATTGCGGTGATACGGTATTTTGATTGTACTAATATTGTATCATAATGCACTCATTTAACATTGATAGTGGGACGTGTCATGTTCTCCCTTCCTCCTAAATGATTTTTTTATTTTTTTTATTTTTAATGTTGTATCAAATTGAGGTTGTTCCAACAGCAGAAGACAAAATTATATGATGTTACCAATACATTTGCGACTTCTACCACTTTTAAACAAGCACACCCGAGCACATTACTAACCTATCATACTCCAGCTTCTGAGTAACTATACCATTCAATAAAAGCTCTGAACTGAAAATCTCCGCCCCTGAAATGAACAATGTCACAATATAATGGGTAGCACATTTTTACAAATTTGAATTTGGATGAATCAAAGACATTTTACCTTTCTCAAGAAGAGGAATACAAACGGAATAATCTTCGTCACAAGAAAGAACTAAAAGATCATTAGGTATCTTATCATCCTTCATTACGGATCTCCCAATTCTCTCCACTGGCTGCAATTCAAGGCCAATTAAAATCAAGTCTAACTGATATCAAAATCGAATGATTAAGAATAAAGCAAGCGAAAGAGCTATCATTTCTGTGAGAAAGTCAAAGCAATATATTACTGAAGACAGATCACTTGTAAAAAATATATAAATACTTCTTTGAAACAGCATGGAGATGACAATGATCATATGGCACAAGGACCCAGTGTTAATTGCTAACAGGTATCAATAACTATACTAGAGTTGTAAACAAGCAATGAGCAGCTGAGCGATTGTCTCCGCCTCAAACAAGATTAACCAATAACCTGATGACTATTCTATGGGAAAAGAAGCTCAGTACAATACCCAATCTCTCTTACCTTTGTGGGAAAAGAAGCACAGTAAAATACCCAATATCTCTTACTCTTTGTGCAATAAAGGCCTGCATTGAGATCAGATCAGGTTTCCTATATAATATTGTAAACTAACAAGGAAAATGGTATGTGCAGCAAAGTAATCTTCCAATGAGATCCAGCTGACATACAAGATCGTGTGTTTCATCTTTGTTAAAGCAAAGGATGCTCTGGAATTCAGAAATCTAACCAGATTATCTTATATCCAAGGAACATCTTTCTTCAGCACTTCCTTTTTTCATACCAGAAGTGTGAACAGATTAGCTTAGATTAGAGTTTGGTTTGATCATCTAGGTCAATTAGAATTTCACCAAATGTTTTAATTAAAGTAGCAGCTTTCTTTTCTTTTTCTTTTTCTTTTTCTTTTTGTTGAAAACGCATCAGATATGTACTTTGTAACAATTAATACAATGTACTAAAGTCTAAAGCTAAAAAAATTAAAATTCTTAATTTTATGTCTTGTTAGTAAATGCTTTCAGATGTACCAAGTCCAAACTACAGATCGAATTAGCCCTCCCCTTGCAAACTGCAAACTGCCTACAATCCAAATTATCATACTATCATAAACTGAACCAAATATTACTATGAATCTTAACCACAAGTCATGTCCTAAACAACAAATTTGATTTATGTGGATTTGAAATTGATTTTTCAAGTGGATTTTCATATATAAAGGACGAGAACTAAATTGGATTCTCATGTTTTATTCCAAATCCTTGCATGTTTCAATATCCAACTTCTCAAGTTCCAAACCTGTCTCACATTCTGTCTTTTTCTCTCTTTTTATTTTTCTTTTTTCTCCCCAGTCATCCACTTCTCACTGCATTGTTGTCCTATTGTTAACTTCTCTAACTAATAAAAAACATCCCTGCTTAGTCGAACATCCAAAAATCACCATCATGTGTCCCTATTCTGTCAACCTCCAACATCTCATCATCTTCCCTCTTGCCCTTCGCTTGCAAACAAAAGAGTTCTAGGTTTTTCAAATTTCCTTTTGATTATTTTTTATTAGTTCTTCACGGGGTTCTTGATTTCCAGTAGAAATACATTTTCGATTATAATTCCAGTCAAAACTCATTTGAACTAATTCTCTATACATAATTTCAATTTATTATTCCACTTGAGTGTCTAGTCTTACAAAGGTTCATGTGTTTACTGGTAGAAATTTCAAACAAAACTTGACATGCATCTTTGAAAATTGCATATGGTGTATCTTCCACGTATAACATGATCTTCACATCAAGACACAGTTACTGGAACGAAAGTGGACAAAGGAAACAGATGATTCGGATGAATCACATTAATAGTCAATCAAGAAATCCATAATCCATAGAGAGAGTACAATAAATGAGTAGCTATGTTTCACTTCAAACAGAAGACCACCATGAGATCACTCTTAAACTTCAAAACACCAAATACTAAAGAGTTATGTCAACAGACAAACAGATTACCTGGCCATGAGCTGCCTTAACCAAGCTGGAAATGACGTCACTACTTGGTTTTGTGTTTGGTGTAATATACACCCTTCTATCCTACAAAACATACAAATTAATCGGAGACAATAAATCAGTAAACAACAAAAAAGAAGAAAAACATATTCAGAGAGAACAACTATGCTTTAATATGATCAAGGCACTTGGATAGTTTAGATAAAGGTACCTGCAAGAGTGGACTTTGGCGTGCACGAGCTAATGAAAGAGGCATGCTGAACCCAATTTCTCTTTCCTTCTTAGCATCTCTCAAGATGTAATTTTTTACATCAAGAAAACAGCTAGCTTGCCCACAGCTCTCAAGCCACATATGAGTCACCACTGGTTTGCCCATAGCCATTGCTTCTAGCATGTTCCTTGTCCGCACAAAATTATCCGTCACGAAATGTGTAGCATCTGAAATAGAAAATGCAGGGGAAACACCTAACCGCCCCATGATCTACAAATAACATCCCACATCATGTATTGCAAAACAGAGAGATATGAATATAAATTAGGGTTAATTGCATGTAGACCCCTATACAGACCCCCGAGTGAATTTTTCTTGACCCATTTATCTTAAGGAGGTCTATCTGGGAGACAAAAAACCTCCATTCTACAAGGATAAAAGAGTCAAAAAATCTCACTGAGGAGGGGTCTATTGGCAACAATAGAACTACAAAGCATTTATCCGCAATGAGATAGTATAGGGGATCTATCCACAATTAACCCCTATTAAATAAAACAAAAATGGATATGCTAATGACAGTTAACCTTTTTCTGTTGTTTGACAATATCATCATCCAAATGATGGCTAAATAAAACGTGAACATTTGCCATGTCTTTTCTTCTTCTTGTATTAATTATGGAAGTTGGAGATAATTTACTGGCTTCCAGTCTTAGTAGCTCTCTAGCAATTAATGATCTTGTTCTACCTTTGCTGCCTGGTGTCCTTGGATAATCTTGAGCCACACAAACAGGGGACACTGCATCAACATCTTTTGCAGGCTGATGCTTTTTATTCGGCGATTCTTCAGTTTTGGCATCTTCCATATTAGGGTTACATGATGAAGATTTTAATGACCTTGCTCTCACACCAGATACGAACATGGCCTTCACGCCGTCAGAAGCTAAACTATTAATATCAGACACCATGTGACTAGAAGTTGATCTTCTCTTCCTCTTTGCAGTATCAAGTATTTCAGAAATACTTCTCGTATTAGCTGTAATGTTTCTTTGTCGAATCTTGGGTTGTATAATGTCATCAAATGATGATGGCAGCTTGTCATTTATATTTGGATTATCTTGATTGGCCTGCCTCGTTCTCCTCTTTTTTGGGTGGGTTAGGGCACCTTTTATATTACAATCAGCTTCTTTCTCCTTTTCATGCAGATTCTGGATATTGTGTGCCTTGGTGTGGCTCATGAAATTTCTTTCTACTTCAGTATCTTGAACTGAATCGGTATCAGAATGTTTTCTTTTTGTCTTGTGTGATCCACCAGAATTTATGACAATCTCATCCTCTCTTGCAATAAGTCCACGACTTCTTACATTTGTACCTTTTCCATAGGCAGTAGCTATGTCTTCAGTCTTTTCTGATAGTCTAACTTCTTTTGAATGCCTTGTACGATGTGCAACAGCTATAGAATTAACACAGAACTGTCCCTGTGTGACTTCTTTACTTGATGAGGGTTGATCATTTAACATGAGCGAATTTGAACATTTGCGAGCCCCTTTAGAAGTTCCACCTACCTTTTCCAGTTCCTTGTGTCCCTCCAAAGATCCAGAACAATAATTGCTAGGAACTGAAGTCTTAGCATTTAAATTTTGTTCCATCTTCTGTTTCCCTCTCTTTAATTTTGATTTCCCTGTTGAGCACTCCAAATTCTTATTCCCTCTTGAGTTACTCCTAGAGGAAAACTTAGTTGTCTTCTTTGAGTGGGTAGAAAGCATATTTCTTTGCTTAGATCGTGTTGAAACACCTACTGTGTTTGGTGTAGAGAAGGCTGACGTTTTTGAGAATGCAGACTTTGTAGCAGTCCTTTTTGTCGCAACTTCAGCAGCTGATGCATGTGCACCATTCATTTCATTATTTATAGGAGCTCCATATATTAATGTCTCCATAGCTTCAGCTGCCATCTGCGTATCAGGACCAAATTCATGCATACCTTCTTCTCTCCTATCATCATCAGTTACCTCCAGTTGCTGATCCAAAGATTTCGAGTTTGATTTGTCAGTAAGATCCTTGAAAAGATTCTTCTTTGTTCTTGTCTCAGCTACATGCATCTTTTCATTCTTTGAAGAACCATTTCGCATTAGTCTTGAATCTGAACGAGTTAAAGTTGCTTCCTTCTGATGATTTGTGGAGTTTGCGCCTTCACCCACGTTTACAACCTTCTGCAACTTTGGAGGTTGGCTGCGAGATTTTCGTGCACCGTCTATTCTTTCAAAGAAGGAAGCTTTTCTTTTAGTGAAAAACTCACCTCCACCCTCATCTTCTAAACTATCTATCCACTCAAAAGCTTCCTTATTCCCAACTGGACTTCTATTTTCAGTTTTCTTAGCTAAGACTTGAGCTCCTTTTGCGCTTGCTACGGGTGGTGACTTAACTATATCAATACTCTTCCCAATGTCAGCTTCTTGAGACAATCCCAAATTATTAATGACAAGAAACTTATCCACAATACCCAATGCATTAGCTTGAGATAAATCTCCAGGTTCTTGGGATTCAACATAGCTCAATCCAGCAATATTATCAGGGATAAGAGAACCAGGTGAATCCATGAGTCCAGTGGTGTCATTAAGCTTACTTGTGTTTTCTTCCTCAGCAGATGTTGCCTCAGAGAAAAGTTTCTTCACCACTTGATTATTGTTTCTGCTCTTACTTTCATCTCTATAGTAGTCCTGTGTACACTTTTGAGAGTTCTCCATCTCATGATCCCTGACTATTTCACATTTTTTGTTGTCAAAAACAGTATAGTCCACTGTGCTACTTGGCAATGTCAACATGCCATTGATGCTAGTTTGACCACCTGAACCATTATTTTGGTTGTTGTAGTTTTCACTATTATTAAATGAAGAGTTTGATTCAACATCAACTGCCTTAGAGATGTTGCTCCGAGCCGCAGCAAGACCAGAAGCCCTTAATGAAGCCGCACGAACTGATGCAATGCTCCTCACAGATGCTAGATAAGATGCATAGGAATTCATTTTAGCAGTGGGTAAAAAAATGTAACAAATGGCGTCCAAATATGCAAGCTTAGGTCTATAAGATCAATCAAGTTCAACATAAGAGAAAACCAACTTTAAGGGTAGAATTATTTTATTACTGCAATTACCATTATTGGATTTGCAGGAACCTTCACTTAGCAGTGACTTTGAAGAAACACGGTCTCCTGCTAAATAAAATAAGTGCGAGCAAAATATTCACTTAAGTAAACACTTGAAGTGCATGAAAGATCAGATGAAAAATATCAGAGAAGAAAAAATTGCCTACATAATCAACAAAAGAATTGAAATTCGAAATAAGTAGACAATAGAAGCATCTAACATTGAGGTATTTCCCCAAAGTCTGGTTATCACACACCAAAAACAATTCGTTTGTCGGCCTAAACCAAAAATAAGCCAGAGACTGCTCCAAATAACAGAAGTACTAGTCTATGATGAATATATGCCTTCTGAAAGGGGGGTCATGTTGAAAGGCTGGTTTGGGTGTGTAACCACTTACGACACTTTTACATAGCATGTATCAGACACATACTTGACACATTTTAGATATAGCTTGTTTATTTTTAAGACATGTCAAAAGTGAATTCTTTGAATCTACTGCATAATAGAGCCCCTATGAGTATGACTGCATCTCTTCCTCCAAAACATATGGTCTCTCATTCTTGTGATTTCATATAATCAGCATGGTATCCATAACTACAAAGATGTAACGGAGTTCTTAAGTGTACTTGATGCTTTTGCTGCTAGAACAAGAGTGCTTGAATAGGGAAGGTTCGCATAGTCATAAAGCAGATCAGGAATAATGTGAATGACCATCTTGGTCTATTGTATTTGATCCAAAACATCACTAATGTCATAAATTCTTGTTGTTTATAGTATTTTATCGGAGTTCCGGTTCCCACATCAACACTCCAAGCTTTTCCCCTAAATACAAGAATGTAGTTGTGCTTGAAGGAAAAGAAAAAGTAAGCAGCTTTTTCTAGTATATGGAGTACCATAGTTCTCAAGTTACTACCATTAAGTTATGTCTGTCCAAGAAACATGTGAAATTCTTCCTATATCTATTAAAGCATCTAACTCAGTACATGCAAAATCATAGTAAAAGCCTAGATTAGCATTTGTTGCGCGTTGGAAAGAATTTAACGAAAGCTTTGATAATGATATCCAAATTTTAAAATTGCCAAAAAATAGTCCAATATTTTGAAGATGTACGTTACCAGCATTAACTAAATGGAAAAGGGGTGAAATGATATTAATATCCATTAAATTCATCGTTACATATGGGTTTAGGGCTGTTTTGGCTCAGGTTCACTGACAAATTTTAGTTACTCATGTCTTCAGAAAATGAAGATAAAGATAAGTGTTTTTTGATTTCAATAGTGTTAGGGTTACATAGATTCAAGGTGAATTTCTTTTCGGTCAAGAGGTATAAATGTCAAAATATTTCAGTCTATGTGAAGCTATTAAGGTTGAAATGACTAAACTTTGAGATATCTTGTGCCGGGCAAAACTATTTCCTCTTATCAAAGTTCAAATTGATGAAGCCATAGGGTACTAAGTAAAGCTAACCCAAAACACTAAAAATACAATCTTTTAATAATAATAAAAATCAGGGTGGACAAACAAAGAACTAGCCTTTACTGTCATTCCCCTCATCATCAGTCTCCGCATCAGAATCGACTCCATCACTCAAAACCCTAACATCATCACCGTCACCAACAACCTCAGTGTCCTCAAATCCCTCATCACCAACAACCTCAGTATCCTCGATACCCTCATCATTACCAACAACCTGAGTCTCGATCCAATCACCGGCAACAATCTCATCGTCTCCATCACCACCGTCAACAGCCTGCGTCTCCCCGTACAGGATCGAATCCTCCATCGCCCTCTCGGTCTCCACCGCTAGGGTTTCACCGTGATCGGCTTCGACCGTGTCTTCTGAAGAAAATAGGGGGAGAATTGTGAAAATTGAAATTTTTTAGGGTGGAAAAGAGAAACGTTCGGAGTGTGGATATACCTGATGACTGGGAATTGCTATCGTCGTCATCGTCGCCGTCTAAGGGCTGTGTTTCTTGGAGATCGGCCAAGGGGGTCATTTTGGCAAAGGAGAGAAGAGAGAGAAGA